GATCCAGGCAGAGTTCAAGGCAGGCAGCTAGCAGAGGGTGGTTGGACAGTCCAAGGTCGGCAACTAGCAATCAGAGGATAAACGCAGGAGACAAGAGCAAAGTTGGGTCCGTGCAATACCAATAGAGAGGATCAATTTACCCAGCGGGGACACAGACAGCAGTCAGAATATAACATACAGTTGGTAAGTGTCAAACATCTTATGGGACAGTCCTAGGATATTGCCCCGTAGTGTATGTGTCTCACAGACTGTACAGCAGGATCTTGAGCATTTGGACCTTGAGAGACTAAAAGGGTTATTCATAAAAGGGTGCAGAGTTTGGAGAAGGCAGGAGAAGTGAGCATTCTATGACACCATAGCTAAACTGGAAAGTGAGCTGAATTGGAGAATTTTTACAAACCAGCTATGTTGTCCTAGATTGTTCTCCTCCCCTGCCTTCTCCAAACTCTTCACCCTTTAGTGAATAACCCTGTTAAAGTGTCAGATTTTAACTGCAGTTGTGACTGTTGAGTGGAGTGATTTGCTGCCTGATAATCTCGCTTCTCACTGATACCAACAATTTTTAGGTTTATATTTCTTACACTAATTATATTTGATTATATGTATCATACCTTATACAACAGATCATGGAAGATATGGAAGATTCTATTATTGATGTGATCCTTTAAGAAAAAGAAAACAAACTAGAAAGCTAATTTGGGCTATGTAATACCATTTGTCTATTTTTGGACATTGCTGTCAGGCCCTGTGCTCCAGTTTTAACTTCAGGTGGCCAGACCATTTTTGCACTTTTTTCCATTCATCACTTACAGCTTTTAGAGTTTGTAAAAGAACCCCCAAACCATTTTCTGAAAGCACAGGACTGATGCGACTGCTGCAAATGGTGCTACTGTTTGTGGGATGCTGTCATAGTTGCAATATTTTTGGTGAAAATACACTAAAATCATTATTAACACACACTAATACAACAGAGCTTCCAACATTCCTACTAAATCTAAAAGATAAAACTGTATTGTCATAATAAATAAATATTTCCAAATTTTAAATTGCACCTTTTTGCGAAATGGTGAAAACCAAAGGGACCCAAAACTGGAGATATGCAACTTTCTATAGGTTGAACTTGATGGACTTGTGTCTTTTTTCAACCTGACTATGTAACTTAAGTTAGAAATCTGGAGGTTGGCTTGACACCTAGGCATTGTGGTAACGCTTGATCTTCAGTGCCATGTGTGCTTTGCATTGGTGTGCATTGCGATAAAATGATGCTGACACACATTTAATCGCAATACAGCAACAGTTCAGAGTGCAGCACATTCATTTTTGCCTCTATTCGCCTCTACTTTGCGTGGCTGGTGGCTCTCATTCCCAACTGTCACTGAGAGCTATGCTTCCCACTGACATCCGGGGACAAGTTAAATTGGTTTTTGTGTGATCATTATGGGGGTGATTTATAAACTGTTCGAGAGCCAATTAGATTCGCAGCACATTTTGGCCACTAGGTGGAGTCAAGGAACATAATATAAATTACCCACTATGTGGTCTATCACATATGGGCTGGATGCTTCATTGAAAAAATAAAACCTGTAGTCTGAAGGTGGCATCTGCATTGTCATCTGTTTAATACTGGAACTATCATATACAATTACATAATAAAAAACATAATTATAATTAGTTTAAAATCATTTTTTAAAAAGTGTTTACATTTTTATGTATCACATTAAAGCCTTATATGTACTAAAAAAGTATAACAATTACTTAGGTATGCAAATTAGTCACATTACCTAGTGCACACTGGGGCTGCTAACTTCTGCTTAGATGCCAATGACCTCTGGTCATAAAAATGGTCAAACACCTCACAGAGCTTACAGCCTTCCTCTAATTTAGACATAACAGCCCTTGTGATACATTTTAGTTTCCAGAATGATTGTCCTTTGTCTGGTGTATTTACTCTATCAGAATTTTTCTTTTGCTATCTGTTTCTGTTTTTCTAGATTGGCTCCAATGTGCAGTGTCTTAAAGCTGGCATTTGCTGGTTTATGATCAGTAGTTGGCATTCTTCATGTTTTCTTCTCCCATTTCCTGGAACTAAAGATCCTGTGATGTTATCCAGCTGAAGCTAATGTGAAAATGAAGCAAAAAATAAAAGATCATTACTAATATGATTATAATTTAGCATTAGTGATACAAGTGTGGATCAGACTGTTCTTGCAGCTAACCTATAACATTATGTCATGTATTAAAGGCAAAGTTCACCCAATGCTTAAAGTGATACTAAAGGCTGGGCATAGTTTTTACCTTAATGCATTCTCTGAATTAAGGTATAAAATGCAGAGAACCTTTACAAGTTGCCCTGTCCCCTGCTTACTTACCTTTTGCTTCCATTTGCTTGTCACCTCCACCGCGTCTGTGAAGTCTTTACTGATCCCTGAACTTCCTGGTTGTGGAGGGAGGGTACAGCTGTCCTTCTGCCATCAGCCAATCTGTTGGGACTATAAGAGGGGAGCGGCTTGCCACATGCGGGCACAGCTGGGAGCAAGCACCCTGAAACTGTCCCCATTATAAAACAAAAAAACAACAAAGGTTTAATGTCACTTTCAGGTGACCATACATACAGCGATTTGTGATTGATTTATGTACAAGTGATCACAAAAAAGATACACACGGTAAACACACAGTAAAAGTATTTTTCATTAGAAGCGATCAGCAAAATTCTAGGATAAGGTACTACTATGGGTTTTGGAGGGACCCCATGCAGTTTTATTTTTGGGTGGGGTCCCCTTAAAAACTATACAAGACCCCTATTTAAGATTAAAGCAGAATTTTTCTTAACCCTGATCTGTGAAGGGACCAGCAGCTCATTGAGTCACTGTTGTTGATGGGTCACTCGGGGTCTGAGGCAGACTCTCAACAGCATATTAGGTGGTCCCAGCTCTGTGATCATAGTGAGAGCTGATCGCTGTGATCACAGAGCTGTGACAGTCACATAGCTGGCAGCAGCTCACTGTGTTTTGTAAACTGCTAGCCGGCTGTGTGTTACAAAGTATCTCTGAAGAAAATAATGTATTCTACTCAGAGATACAAAGTATCAAAACCACTGTAAATAAAAAATATAAGCCCCTTAGTGCCCCCTAGTTTAAAAAAATAAAGTTTTTAAATTTTTTTAAATTTAAAAAAAGGAAAAAATATAAAATAAAGGAAACAAGTTTAATAAAGGAAAAAAAAGTTTAAAAAAATATGTTTAATAAAAAAATGAAATGGAAATATAGTGCCGAGGAGGCTATTAAAGGAGAACTATGGGGTTAGGGCTTTTCCCCATAGTTCTCCTAAGGGTAACGGGAGGACACAAACTAGCGTCCTCCCGTCACCCTAAGCTCAGTATCCCGCGAGCTACAGCTCACGTTATACTGAGACGCCGCAGTATACCGTGAGCTATAGCTCGCGGTATACTGAGACGCCGTAGCTGAAACGGATCCCGACAATTATGTCTGGATCCGCCCAGCTGCGTGAGTGACAGCTGGCTCTGCCTATCTAGAGGCAGAGCCAGCTGTAACCGCCCCCTCCCCCGTCCGTTCCACCAGTCAGCGCTGGAGGATCGGAGCGGGGAGGGGGGAATCCAGTCCCTCCCCTGTCACGGCTCTCTGCCGTGACAGGATCAAGAAGTGAGCAAACGCCGGTATGTGTTTGCTCACTTCCCGATCTACTGAGCCGACCAGTGACAGTTTGATTGTCACAGGTCGGCTAGAACTATGAGGATGAGTGAAAAGCACTCACCTCATAGTTCTCCTTTAAAGATAGGTGACAAACATACCACATTTTAAAATAGTTTCATACTAAAATTGTATTTCACTCCTTGTATTTGTGACCCATAACTCCCAAAAAAAACTGAAATCCCAGACATATGATATACCCTCTAAATCAGGACAAATAAAATAATTTATTAGGAATTACTTTCTGTTAGCTACCCTAATTATGTACACATTATTATGTGGTTTAAGTAAAAATGTATGTATGCATATGTAGCCATAAAATTAAAGCCTGTTTTGTTCTTTTAAAAAAACCCGCTATATAATATGTGTAGGTGTAATGAATAAGGAAGATGAAAATTATGGTTAAGCAAACACTTGGCAAAAATAGCAAAATTGCTCCGATCCCCAGAAGCGGGACATTTTAGGAAATTTGGCAAGCCGCCCCCATGGGAGAAGAACATTTGTCCAGTGTCCCCCAAGTAAATTGAGTTTGAGAGTTCTGATTTAATTAGTATAACATCAGACAGGCCCTTGTTGTACATAGTTGATGGTAAACCTAAAGGAGATTGTAATATCTGCCCATATAGCATGGTAGTTCTGTACTCACATGGTGCTGTGTACAGTGCAGAATGTATGTAATTATGATATCTGATCAGCCGGTGGCAGGACCTCCACGTCTGCTCGCTGTAGTACGCATGTCTACTACAGAGTGTATGTAATGATGACATGTTACCAGCATATGGCAGCGCCTCTATATCTGCACGCTGCAGTCCGCATATCTACTACAGAGTGTATGTAATGATGACATGTTACCAGCATATGGCGGCACCTCTATATCTGCACGCTGTAGTCCGCATGTCTAGTATAGAGTGCATGTAATGATGACATGTGACCAGCATATGGCAGCACCTCTATATCTGCACGCTGTAGTCCGCATGTCTAGTATAGAGTGCATGTAATGATGACATGTGACCAGCAGGTGGCAGCACCTCTATATCTGCACGCTGTAGTCCGCCTGTCATTTTTCTGCTCATATTGCTGCAGCTGTGTTCCTGACGGTCGCTCCTCCTCTTTACAATGACAGCATTTCCATAATACAGGAAGCCGGGGTGGGACAGTAAAGAGGCTGAGAGCTCAGCAAAGCTGAATGTACGATTCTTTCTAGATGTTTATCTTTACTTCCACAGCATAGACATCACATGACAATAAAGGGACAGAACTAGAAGACGAAGAATCCCTGTGTCTGCACCTGTCAGTGTACCATGGAGGATCAGAACAAGGCAGAGGTAATGTGTGTACAGCAATGCATGCACTGACATGGGGACAATGAGCACAGTAGGTTGGTGCAGCACAGATGCAGCTTGCAGTGCTGGAGAGGGTACGTTATGGTCAGTTGTCATATTAAATTGGTTAAGGATATCAAGCTGCATACATTCATATGTTCAGGATGTCATCAACTATTACTGCAGAACTGTTGTATTCTCCTAAAGCTCATTTCCAGCTGAGAAATGAAGTACCCTTCTACCTGGGCTACCCCCACCCTGCAAGGGTCTAATCCTGTTTTTTGTCGAGGGGCTGGAATAAAGCAGATTTACTTACCTGATCCTCGCTCTGGTCAGCGCTCTCCTATTCTTCCCTCCACTTTGGCTGCATTAGAGGTGATGATATCAGCTGGGCTTCGACCCCTGGAGCAAAGGGGAGAAGAAGCTGCAGAGACTGGGCTGGCAGCCCTAAGGGAACGAGTGGCAGCGGGGAACAGGTAAGTAAACGTGCTTTATTCATTTCTACTGCAAGAATACTTTGTTTTGGAGATGGACTTCAACCCTTTCCCTGGCATCGACTTATGCCGTAGATCACTGGCAGTGGGCCCCTTTAAACAGACGGTCGACTTTACACTGGAAGCAATTCTGGTGACCAAGTGCACCTCCCTGCCCCACTTTGCTTCCATGGCTCCTCCTGCGGAGCTGGGTGTCGGCGGTTAGAGGGGAGAGAGACCAGTGAACATGCGTTCACTGATCTCCTCCCAGCTTAATGTAGCCGGAAGCGACGCTGATTGCATCACTTCCTGCTCCTCAGCTGTCATTCCCCAGCTGACAGTCACCGCTCCCCGCAGGGATTCCCCCCTCTCCCCTCTCCGATCCTCCAGCGCTGAGTGGAGGAACTCTGATAGTTCCTCCTCTAGATAGGCAGAGCCAGCTGTCACTCACACAGCTGGGTGGATCTCAACAGTAATGCCGGGATCCGTCCCGGCTGTGGCACTCACAGTATATTGCGGGCAATCGCACAAAATATTGAGCTGTGGGTCACGGGAAGATGCTAGTATATGTCCTCCCGTGACCCTAAAGAGAACTATGGGGAAAAACACTTACCCCATATTCTCTTTTAATTTAGCAAACTTTCCCCCTCCCAGCTGTTTATTTACAATCGGCCAGACGGCAAGTGGTTAACGTCCATAAGCACAGGTGCACTTTTAAGTGTATCTAAGGCGAAAATAGAAGGGCTTGATCCACTGCCAGGCATTTTTTACAGTCTGTGTCTGTCCTGGTTACCATTGTTACCAGGACAGAGAATGATGGGAAGAAACAGCATTTTGCAGTTGTTAGCAGAACAGGAGCAGAGGGGAAATCTTCAAATGGGGCATACACAAACATTAAAAAATAACTGACACAGAGGTTTTATTCAGTTCATAGGTATTTTTGTTGGAATTCTTTGCATTTTACACCAACTTTATTTGCATAGTAATATATTCTTGGCACCATAAACTATAACACAACAAATTTAGTTGACATGTGGGTTTTGCCTTTTTTTTTTTACATTTTGACTTCTCTTCACTGAATAAAAGTTGAGCGTTAACATACAACAATGCAAATGCTGCAGCAATGCCCATAAATGTGACTGTGGCAGCTATAAATAGGTGTTAATATATTGGTGGTGGAATGGAAGTATGACTCTTTCTCAAGCTATGCTGTGTGACTATTATAAACTTAACAAATGTACTTCTCATTGTATTCATTATATATTTATATACCTTTGCCCACAATAAAGAAATAGGAGCAAGAGTAAAGACACATACATATTTAAAAAAAAAAGTATTTTCCAGAAAGTGCAGGCGAACCCCTACAACACTTGCAACTTAAAAATGTAAAAACAGAACAGGAAATAAACTACAAAAATATTAGTAAGAAAACTTACCTGAGGTAATATGTTTGTAAATTCTAACAATAATCTTCTCCGATTTGCTCCCTTTTGGTCTGTTAAAGTGACACTAATCTCAGGAGTTAAACCTTAAAAATACATTCAATTCCCTTAACTATTAACAAAAATGTATCTTATTTGTGTATCACTCGGCTGTAGATGCTCGAATCATCTCTGAATTCATGCTGACACTGTCCTTCCTTCTGGAGGGTGGCTACTTTTGTTCCCATGGTCCCTGTGTGTGTTGTAAAGTAGCCACCGCTCCAAGCTCGCTCCCGTGATGGACTACAATCTCAATAGAAATCAGTAAACTTAACCTGAGATTGTAGCTTCTAACTTTCTGTAGTGAGCTGACAATGCTGCTCTGAAATATTAGACAATGTTATATCTGTAATAAATTAAAGCCAAAGCAACTGGACATGCTGTATTTTTCTTGAAGATGTTTCACTGGTCATCCAACCAGCTTTCTTAATTCAGAATTGATAAAGCTGGTTGGATGACCAGTAAACCGTCTTCAAGAAAAATATGGCAAGTCCAGTTGCCCTTTACTCATTTTTTACAGACCTGGATGAATGAGAACCTTCGTAGACATTAGACAATGTTATCAGACAATGTTATCAGTCCTGCCTGAGTTCTCTCTGTGGATTAAAGAACATCTCCCCCTATGTTATGAAGAAGAGAAGGGAGGGGGTCTATAGTTTTAACACACTTCCTGTTCTAGGGTCATAATGCTACTTTTTCACACATACAGTAGAGTTAGTGAGAGTTGTCACTCTATGACCGGGCGTGTGTTACTGGCAGGATCGCCAGGTGAAAACAAAGGTAATAAAAGCTTAAAAAGGAAAACAAATGCAGCCACGACATCTCAGGACGGTAACTGCAATATATTACATTGTTGTTCTTGGTTTTAGATATGCTTTAAATCTATAAAAAAAGAAATGACTTCTATATGTATGTTCTTGAGCCACATACACCAGGTTTTTAAAACAACCATTACTGATTTTTTTTCCCTGTTTTTCCCGTATAATTATATATTTATAATTAGGACTCTATGCAGATATACAAAGAAACACATTTTTGCAGCTCTGTAATCATGAATACATAATTGAGTATATTTTTTAAAGCAGTGTGGGTACCTGAATCTGGCCTGGTATTAGCCTCTTGCAGTCCTTGTATAGCAGAGCTGGAGTGTGAGAGGAAGCAGCAAGCCAGTCAGTTCATGTGCTGACAAGAAGCAAGCTGATAGGAGGAGAAAGCAGAGAGACGAGCTCATTGCTGTGCTGCTTCTCCTTTCACTCTCCAGGCTGGGGTGAGTCAAGGATGACCTGGGCTTAGAGGAAGTGGGTTCAATAATGCTGGCCATCAGCCTGAAGGCATCTAGTGGCACAAAAAAAATTTGTAGTGTGCAGGAAATCTCTGGAAGGTAAATATTGCAGTAATAGCTGATTGTGTTATATTTTTATTCACTATATTTTTCACTAGAGGTCTGCTTTGGGTAAGCAAGAATCCAGGCTCTGAAGCATCAAGAAAATGTTTAATGCTAATTAGAGTTATAAATGAAATCCTTTTTCATTCTTTGGATCCTAAGATACATGTCCTGTGATAGGTTTGGAAGGGGCAAACAGGAGGAGGATGACAGCATGCTAACAAACATTAAACTCTGTGTGCTTTAGGGCTTTACTGTGACTATGATCATGTGCAACTGTTGCATAAATCTTCCTTAAATCCACCTTATCCATCATTTTGATTTGTTCTAGTATACTGAATCCGCTTGTTTCTGTCTAGTATATGTTTCACAGCTGAAGAAATGCTTTCTATTCAATATATTTCATATTTGTGTTGTCTTTTCAAGTATGCTGTGCTTTGGATAACTATATATTTATATACATATGTTTTATATTACAGAACACATTCAGTGCAGATGAAGCCAGCTCCATTGTAAAAGAGGTGGGTTCATTATCATCATTATCATACACAAGCAATGTTTTTAAATGTCCAGAACATACTTCTACCCTGAAAACTGGTTAGTTGCAGTATTCTGTAGTTTTGCATACCAATCAACCAGAAATCAGCTTATCTTTGTCTGCAAACTCGATTCTGTGGGGTAGAGGGGCAAGAGTTCCAGTGTAGTTTTCCTATTCACCCACTAGATGTCACTATAAATGGATAGGAAAGCAGTTGTGACGATAGGAGACACTGTAGGAGTTAAATGCTAGCCCTGCACTTTTAGTGGTAGGGGAACTTGGGAAAGGGTCTGAAGTGTCTATGTCATTTTGGTGGGAACACACTTTGGGGATTAGACCATAGGAAGGTAAAGAGGACCAAGCACAGCAATATGCAAATGCTGAATATTGCGTGGAGCTTCCCTTTGAAGGCGGAAACGGGGGTAGAAGTAGGACTTTTTGGGACTACTCGCATCTGCATGGAAGGACTCTAGGCAACCTCTTCAGGATTTTGGGCTTCTCCTTGACTCTCCTCTTGTTTGCAACTCATTCCTCTATCGTTTGTCACTAAGTACTAAACCGTCACCTGAATGTGGATAACTAAAGAAAATCTATACCGTGAAGGGAATTTATCGAAACTGGAGCAGACAAAATCTGGAGCAGATGTGCATGGCAACCAATCAGCTCCTCTCTTTCATTTTTAAATCTTAACTGAACAGACTGGAGAGGTGACGCTGATTGGTTGCCATGCACAGCTGCATTTTTTATAAATTCCTGTGTGTGTGTGTATGTGTGTACACTATATTGCCAAAAGTATTGGGACACCCCTCCAAATCATTGGATTCAGGTGTTCCGTGACATTTCCTTGCTACTAAATATTCCACGGTCACCTTTTAGTGGTATTATAACAAAGTGGAAGCAACTGGGCACAACAGCAACTCAGCCACGAAGTGGTAGGGCATGTAAAAATGACAGAGTGGGGTCAGCACACGCTGAAGCGCACAGTGCACAGAAGTCGCCAACTGTCTGCAGAGTCAATAGCTACAGACCTCCAAACTTTGTGTGGCCTTCAAAATTGGCACAACAACAGTGCATAGAGAGCTTCATGGAATGGGTTTCCATGGCCGAGCAGCTGCATCCAAGCCTTACATCACCAAGTGCAATGCAAAGCGTCAGATGCAGTGGTGTAAAGCACGCCGCCACTGGACTCTAGAGAAGTGGAGACGTGTTCTCTTTAGTGACAAATCACGCTTCTGTCTGGCAATCCGATAGACGTGTCTGGGTTTGGCGGTTGCCAGGAGAACGGTATTTGCCTGACTGCATTGTGCCAAGTGTAAAGTTTGGTGGATGGAGGTTTAGGGTGTGGGGTTGTTTTTCAGGGGTTGGGCTTGGCCCCTTAGTTCCAGTGAAGGGAACTCTTTGGGCATCAGCATACCAAGACATTTGGCACAATTTCATGCTCGCAACTTTGTGGGAACAGTTTGGGGATGGCCCTTTCCTGTTCCAACATGACTGTGCACCAGTGCACAAAGCAAGGTCCATGAAGACATGGACCTTGCTTTGTGCACTGGTGCACAGTCATGTTGGAACAGGGCGAGTTTGGGTTGGAGGAACTTGACTGGCCTGCACAGAGTCCTGACCTTAACCCGATAGAACACCTTTGTGATGAATTAGAGCGGAGACTGCGAGCCAGGCCTTCTCGTCCAACATCAGCACCTGACCTCACAAATGTGCTTCTAGAAGAATGGTCAAACATTCCCATAGACACACTCCTAAACCTTGTGACGGGGGAGCATGGAGCCGGCTTCCTAGCCAATCAGGATGTCGGGCGTTGTGTAATGACTCGCCGCCCAGCTTCCTGATTGGTCGGGAAGCTGGCCTAACAGGAAGCTGGGTGGCGAGTCATTACCCGCTCCCCGGCTTTCTGAATGGCTAAAAAGCTTGCTTCTTGCTTCCTCGTCACCTGGTGTAATGACTAGCTGTCCGGCTTCCTGATTGGTCGGGAAAATGGTCAATCAGAAAGCCAGGCGGCAAGTCATTACCTACCCCCCGGCTTTCTGATTGGCCAGATAGCTGGCTCCATGCTCCCTTGTCACCTGGTGACGAGGGAGCATGGAGGCGGCTTCCGGGCTAATCAAGATGCCGGGTGGCAAGTCTTTACACGCCACCCAGCTTCCGTAATGGGACTTCCGGTATCGGTATTCAGTATCGATGAGTACCGGGAAACAATATTGGTATTCATGCTCGATAGCAAAAAAACGGTATTGGTGAATCCCCAGTTTATACATTGGCTTTTTAGATTTGAGTAGCCACACTGTGCCATTGACATCACACCCCTGTATTTCAGAACACCCGGCATTGTTTGTGTGACACACAGATAGCTTTTGCTTTTGTTTTAGAAATGTACACTAAGCATAAACTATTTTCATGTGCTGGGCTTCAGGATGGGGAAGTGTATACTAGTCAATTGTTTCCTGAATCCCTTGTCATTATGTCTGTGACAATAGCTTTGTAATTACAGAGGGCACATGGAAAGTTCATTAATACCAGAAAGTAATAAACAACAAGAATACTGGTTGTACCTCTGACTGGTTCTTTAATTACCATTTACAGTATTTATTATGTTTTATTGCAGTCTTATTAGAGTTCTGTAGGCGGCAGCGTCTGTCATTTTCTTATCGAAGTATGTAACATGGACTGGTAGATGAATAAATATATATAGACAAATACATACACTATGCAGATAAAACTCTGCATTACAGCCTACTTCAGCTCACATAACTGCCCAAACATTACCTGAACTTTGGCTAATGATGCAACCAATGCAAACTGCAATCACTGGATACAATTATCTGGATATGATTGCAGTGTGGCCTTCACACAGGCAAACCTCTTTTTAAAGGTCATCTCCACTCTAACAATATAAAAATCAAAAAAATCTTTAACCACTTGCTGTCTGGAGAAATTTCTTAATATTTGCCCACACAATAAAATATACATTTTTGGATAGGATAGAAAATAGCTTAAGACACCAAACAAATCCCCCCCCCCTAAATATTTTCGGAAAGCACAGGCCCTGTAGTTGCAATTTATTTTGTTGCACGGTATTTGCGCAAATTTTTATCAAACCGGTATTTTTAGGATACAATATACTAAAATTAAATTTAGGGGTCTATTCACTAAGCTTCTTCGTCAGCTTCGTGAATAGACCCCTTAGTGCACAGAAACAGAATATAATACCCATTTTTTGGGGTAAAATATAAAAGACGGGGTCACGTCAGGTAAATAGATACCAAATATGCCAAGCCTTGCGTGCAACCGTGAAACCGCAAAAAACTACAATACTCAAAATTTCCCACAGGCGATGTTTTAAAAGCTTTTGCTGCTCATCAGTTTAGTGTTAACTCCTCTCACTCTGACGTTCACAGCAATATGTAACATGTGTGGCACAATTTTCGTTTTTGCACGTAGTCGCATCCGACACGTGTTTGCGTTGTATGTGCATGCATGTGTAGGGCGGTGGAACTTTGCATTTTTTATGTTACTTTCATTTTTTTACTTTTTTTTTTACACTTTTTTACAAGCCCCCTATGTAATAGCAAATAGGACGTGACAGGTCCTCTTTATGGAGACATCAGGGGGTTTTCAGACCCCTAATGTCACCTAGGGACCTCAAAGAAGCTGGTGAAGAAGAGATCTGCTTCACCAGCTTCTTCTCCAGGCTCTAAGAGCCAGTGAATGTAAACAGTGACATGGAAGTGATGTAATACACATCACTTCCGAGTCCAGTGATCGGAGGAAAGGTTAGCGACTAGAAGCTTACAGATCTCCCTTTGACTTCAATGCACCCTCCCGCCCCTGAACACAGGGAGCCGGCCGGGTAGCGATACAGTGCGTTCCAGAGGCAGACCGCTCTGGAGCGCACTGTTTGTGGTGTTTGTTTGTGGTGTGAACCGACCCTAAGACTTAGTTACTACTAAATGGATGCAGACACTGCACCTCTCCTCATTGAAACACAGAAAGTCCACCAGCTGACTATAATGAACCCAGACCTTCACATTCAGGAATCAGTTTATAAAGGACGTGCAGCAACAACCAGCATTTGCTTCAGAACAGAGACAGGTAGGAAACTGCAACAAAGTTTCATAAAATCCTTGTAATGTGCACTGGTCACATCTGTGTTTGGGGCAGTGCATACATCCCTGTACACAGTCACTGCTCAGATGTGCCTATTATAGGCATTATAGAGACATAGCATCTGCCTGTCTGTCATTTGATTTCTACAGACTGGTTGGCTTCGGGTGTACACTGCACTTGTGACTCCCAGATGGAGAAATACACCCGAATGTACACTGTACGGCCCTTTTTCAACCGTACACATAAGCCCTAACTTAAGAAAACCTATTAGTTTGTGCCAGCTCATGGTGGTGTGTATGAAAGCTTATGCTTATTGAAAGCTTAAGGAGTTATTCACAAAAGGGTGATGAGTTTGGAGAAGGCAGGAGAAGTGAACAATGTAGGACAACATAGCTGAACTGGAAAGTGAGCTGAATTGGAGAATCTTTCCAAATCCGCTATGTTGTCCTACATTGTTCACTTTTCCTGCCTTCTCCAAACTCTTCACCCTTTTCTGAATAACCCCCTTAGTTTACAAATGTAATCCTAGTGATATATTTTGCTTCACCTCACTGTTACATAGTTACATAGTATTTGAGGTTGAATAAATACATAAGTCCATCAAGTCCAACCTATTGTGTGTGTGTGTGTGTATGTATAGGTCCCTGAGTCATCTCATTCTTAAGAGTACCTGTAACCCCTGTACTTTACGGTCTCTCAGGAAATCATCCAAAAGCTTCTTGAATGATTCCACACTATTTCCTGAAATCACTGCATGGGGCAGAGAGTTCCAGACCCTAACCGCTCGAACTGACAAGAACCCCCTTTGCCCCTTCTGTTGGTATTTTTTTTCTACCAATTTTAGTTGGTGGCCTCTAGTCTTTGTTACGGAATGAATCTTAAAGAGTTTGTTGCTAATGTTGCTATGACTATAGAACATCTTGTACATGAAAATCATATCCCCCCTTAATCTCCTTACTTTCAGCGTGAACATATTTATATTTAGTAGCCTTGTCTCATAGTTCTGATCCTCCATCCCCTTGATGAGTTTGGTTGCCCTCCGCTGGACTCTCTCCAGCTCCAGGACATCCTTTCTGTGTACCGGTGCCCAAAACTGCACCGCATACTCCAGGTGAGGCCGAACCAGTGATGTGTAAAGTGGCATAATTATAGACCTGTCCCTGCAAAACATTCCCTTCTTCATGCAGGACAGGATTCTACTAGCTTTGCTTACAGCAACCTGGCACTGTAATCTATTATTCAGTTTATGGTCTACAATGACCCCCAAATCTTTCTCCATTTCCGACTTCCCTAGCGGCATACCCATAATTGTATAACCCATTTGCTTATTTTTAATCCCAAAGTGCATAACTTTGCATTTATCGACATTAAACCTCATCTGCCATATAGTTGCCCACTCCCCTATTTTATCCAGGTCCTCCTGCAATGTTATACTATCTTAGTCCGTTTCTATTTCCCTCCCAATTTTGGTATCGTCAGCAAACACTGAAATATCGCTGTTTACTCCGTTCCCGATGTCGTTAATAAACAGGTTGAATAGCATGGGTCCCAGCACAGAACCCTGAGGCACACCGCTAATGACACTAGCCCAGTCTGAAAGGGCGCCATTTATTGATACTCTCTACCCCCGTTCCTTTAGCCAGTTCTCTATCCATGTACACACCCTTCCATCTATGCTCATAGACCTCAGCTTGTATAGTAAGCATTTATGAGTATCAAAAGCTTTTGCGAAATCCAGATATACCACATCCACAGACCTCCCTCCATCCAGATTTCTACTTACCCCCTCGTAAAAAGTCAGTAGGTTAGTCTGACAGGAACGGTCCTTCCTAAACCCATGCT